AACTTGGGTATATTTGGTAACTGATCAATAACTAGAATGTTGAGATAATAAATTAACTCCAATTATACTGCTATGTGTCAAAGCAGTAGAACTAAACACTTACTGTCTATATCCTCACAAAACGGGAAATAGCCAGTCAGACTAACAAAGATAGTTACTCCAACAGCCCACATGCTAAAAGACGCAAAAACTTAATCTTATCATAAAATCTACACAGACATTTTAAGATTCTTGAATACATACTCTACGGTTTTATTATAACCATGTACATTTCGTAATACATCGTTACCAATTTCAGGTGCTAAATAAGCAGGTGTTCCACGTATTGTATTTCGTTTTGACTGGTCAGGTATCGTTCGCGCATAACCAAAATCACCCACTTTTAAATGAACTACATCATCACAAATATTGATGAAAATATTGTCAGGTTTCAAATCACAATGACTGAAACAAATTCATCTAAAACGCGCTACAGTAAAAAAGACTAAAATTCAGAAAGCTTACGCTATATTTCTGAAATGTAAATAGCGTATAGCAGCTACCAACTGATATGCTAAAAATCTTGCTATATCTTCATCTAATCTTCCTTTTGGATTCTCATTTGATAATATATAATTTAACATATCCGTTTGAAGACGTTCGGTAACAAGAAATATATGTTTTTCAAATTCAAAGATGCTTTCAAATCTTAATATACCTAATGAAATTAAACAATTTTATTTTATAAGAAATATAATCATAATAATCATGGATGTTAAGACCTCGAAGATTCGACGTTCGAGTTCGACATCAAATAGTTAAGAAAACAAACTGACAAGCGACCAGTTCGCCAGAAAGCGCAGTACAAATGAAATGATGAAACGCTATGAAGCGCAGAATAAATATCACTTTTGGCATTATACAGGGTGGGCCATAAAAAGTTACCGTTGTCTGTATTTATTGGCTTTCTTGTTTAGAAATATAATTGAACTTTTTTTATTAGTTTAGTCGTGCAGAGCAAAGATTTCTGGGCAAAAGGAGACGTCTCCCAGCTTTCTAAGAGCTTTTCTCTTGAAGCAGCATACAATTTACAGAGGGC